ATATTCCAGAATCATATGCTTGTTTCCTTTCGAAATTGCTGTGGTTTGTGTTGTCATATTTCATGGAAGCACACTGTTGACATTTATTTTATATAGGAGTAGTTGCCTCTGGATTTAGTTGTATGTGTGCAGTTTGTCTCGTCTTACTTCTTCAAATGCAGAAACCCATGGAAGCAGATGATTCTGAAAAAAGCAAAACTCCAGTGAGTTGCATTTCTAACACAATCGCTTGACGCAATTCTTTAATAAAAGAAACTGATGGTTTTCTTGTTTAAGTAATTGAAGTATCCAAGATTAAAAACTTCCATTTTTTATTTTAGACACTTAAAGACATAATTGCCCTGCCGACGAATTTTTGGCTGTTTATATGGACGATGGGGTTTATCCAAGGCGCTTGGATCTGCAAGCAAACCAATCTACCGTAAGAATATTGCTACCGTATTTTCCCTAATTTGATTTTCTCCTTCAACTTTTTTAACACTAGAATCTTAAACAATCATCAGTATATTTTGATGTTTTAGCAGAGCGGAGCTACCGTCATAGAGTTTTCTTCTATTGTTGTAGAGACTTTTTGGAGGTACGGTATGGCTTGACAGTGGCAGAGGCAGACTACATTGCCAGCGTCCCTTCTATCGTTATGTTGTTAACTCCTGTCGTATCTATTTTACTGGTAAGTGTTTCTAGCTTCAGCCTTTTACATGTTTCTAATAAACCAAGATGCAACAAAGATGAACAAAAACATCAATGTCCTACCGTCGCTTTGGCTTTGGGCACTGTGAATGACATATGTATTATCATGTCGATAGAATTTTATAGCATACATGTACATGCATACAATGGAATACATAGCTATACTGATTGTGAAATTATGAACAGTTAATAAACAAATTTGTTTTATAGAAGTACATTGACTGTCATGGAGTCGTTCTCACAGCAGCCCTCATATGGATGACGTCTGTTTTTGTTTTATTGGGATTCTGTCCGGCCATCCACCCCCTTATCCTCGCTATAGCAGATGGAACAGGTGCAACTATATATTCTGTAAGTTTGTATATCGATGTTTGATGTAGGTGGAGTGTATACACTAGGGATGCTTTTCTGTCATGTTACTGAGTGACATTAAGTATAATGCATGGCTCTGTTGAATATTTTAGATAATAATGTGGCAGCTCCTAGTCGTTATCAGTCCCGCAGCCTTTGTTGGGACTCTCGGAGGTATATTTTATTTAGTGAGACACCTAACAGCAGCGTTCAGCTTACTTGCCGCTGGATTTATACTGCAGAAACCTGAACAGTACGTATCGATTAACGTTATTAGATGATTGAATCTGTCCATATAGAAAGAACAGATGTTCGATATTTATCAACAATTCTACAACATGATCAATGTGTCTTCAAATACTAAATCATTGACAGATGTCATAAGGGAGAAACCAATATTTTAGATTTTTGTATTCAGTCTCTGTTCAAATTAGTTGTTCTTTCGGTGTAGTAAAACTAGCTGCATGATCAATGTTTGATCACATATGTTGCACTGTTGTATAAGTGTGTTTTTTTAATCAAGAACTTATATATCCTACTCACAGGACTGAATTGAACAGTGCT